ATTAACTTAACAATGACAGTGATTCACTTAAAAACTGTGGCAAGAAAGGTCATAAAACAGGGCAAAATTTATTTAACAACTGTTTTCTTAGCAACAGAAATGTTGGGCTCAATTGTGTTTGTAAATCAAAGAATACCTGTACACTTCCCTTTTTAGCTGGAACTGACATTACTGAGGAATATTCAGCTTGTGATCAACTAATATCTCAAGCTTCCAAGGAAGTTAGAATTTTAGTTGGTCATAAGTTGGTCATAATGTCAGCTAGAAAGGGAAATAGCCAGTGGTGAGATTCTTCCAGTTTCTCTACTGGTTCAGTTATCGCGCACTTCGCGTGTGTGTGCATGCAGCTTTCCAAACACCAGCTGAGGGTCTTCTGCACCAATCAGCTGAGAGGATAAAGAACAGAAAAGCACAGGGGCAAATGGGAGGGCTGATCCTGCACTTTTCTCTTCTTTCTCCTCTCAGCTGCTTGTCGGAGCTGAACCGGTAGCATTTCACCACTGGAAATAGCAGTGGCATTTAGACCTATATACCACTTCATGGTGCTTTCAGCAGATCCCCAATGTTTCTGGATTTGTGGGCTGGTGTGGGGGGGGAGAGGGGATGATTCTGTATGAACGGCCAACAAGCACATCCTCGCACAGCTCCATTTGCATGAGAGGCTTGCCCGCATGAATGCCGCTCCCTCAAATGGAGTTTGCACATGCTTGGCCGCTGCTTGTGCAAATGAGGATGCGTGTGCGCGCTTGCCAGCCATTTCTGCAGCCCAGTTGCAAATCCCTCATGGACCACAGGTTAGGGACCCCTACTTTATAGCACTCTCTGAGCGATCTACAGAGTCAGCTTATTGCTCCCAACAACCTGGGTTCTCATTTTACTGATCTCAGAAGGATGAAATCTGAATCAACTTTGAACCCTTCAGGATCAAACTCCTGGCTATTGCATTCTAACCACTGTGCCACCAATTTGAGGCTACATCAATAGATGTATAGTTTCCAAAATAAGGAAAATAATAGTACTACCATAGTCTACTTTGATCAGAACTCACATTGAGAAATGTTGTAGTTCTAATTACTATGCATGGATTGGGTCATTGCATGTTTAACTTAAATTCAGGTGATGATGTGTTTGGAAAGTTGGTTGTGGAGGGGGAGGGAGACTGAAGAAATAGAATGTTTAACTTTGAGTGGAAATGGTAGAGGAAAGTATAAGACCTATTTCGAAATGTTTAAAGGGATATCACTTAGCAGAAGCCCAAAACCTGTTTGGTATCATCAAAGAAGACAAGGAAGAATGGTCTCAATTTACAGGATTTTTTTGTCAAAAAAACCCAACAACAACACTTCCTAACCACAAGAGTAATTTAACAGTGCAACCAGTGAATAATAGAACTGATAAGTTCCTCCTTCTCTGGATATATCTGCAGGGTGTGGGGGCAAAATAGGCAAGATGGCAGAAGTTTTGTAGTGGACCAATGCACATTCAAAAGGGACAGGCTGGCATCGTGAAGCTGCATTAGCCATTTTGCTGATTTGGACTGCCTCCTGTTCCCAGAGGCTGCTAAAATTTTCAAACAGAAGCTGGGCAGCCACTGAACACAATTCTGATTCTCTTATACATTTGTTGTTGTAGCTCACTACTATATGACATGGCTTTTGTAAAAGTGTGCCATTCATAAATTGGCTTGATCCATATCTGCTTAAGCTTCAGTTATATTTTCATATTTTTCATTGGGACCAGTATTTAATGACCTTTAACTCCAGCTGACATTTTAGTTTTAATATCTCTGTCCTTAGCAGCAGCTTTTTATTGTTTTAATGTATGATTTTTTTTAATGACTGTATTATTTTATTTAGGTTATGTAGATAAGTAATTTCTAAACACCCAAACTAAAATGAACTAAGCTGATAAGGCTACAGAAACTGACATTTCAAATGGCTTGTTTCTAGCTCCTTAATGTTTCAATGCAGCATTCTCTCTAAACAAACAGGAACATACCTCTCCCCAGTGACATCATCTGTGGCATAACACCTGGCAAAGTCTCCTTTGAGGCATGACAATCAGCCAATTTAAAGTGTGTGTTGCATAAACTGAGATTTGTTACCATGTTTAATTAGAGAGCTTAAAACATTTCACTAAGGCTTAACAAACAAACTCAAAGTAGGGAAAGCTATACTGGAAAAGCAGATTCTTAAGAAACCTCTATTTTTTGGACTCAGAAAAAGTGGAAAGCACAAGTTCTGAGTGCCAGTGAGGGCTATGCAATAATTTGAATTAGAAGAGGAAAGAATCACATAGATGTCTGGGTATCCGCCCTTGGAAGTTCCTTAAACAAGAGTCCACTGGAATTGGGTGGCCAATAATTTAGATAAATTAATAAAATAAAAAGTCCTTTCTTGGGATCCTACAGTCAGTCTAGAGTGCTATTAGTGAAGACAACTGTATATGTGGTAGTTTTATTCCATGGATGCAAACTTGTAGAATCTAGGGAATTACTTTAGATTGAGTAGTTCATTTAGTTCAATATTGTTGACACTGAGTGGCAGAAGTCTTTTTAGAGCCCAACCTGAAGTTGCCAAGGGCAGAATTTGTTGTCTGCTTTGCTTCCATTCTTGTTGGGCCTACATGTTGCTTACAGTTGGTTGCAATTTTCTATGCCTGAAAAGTGTTCCTTACTTCAGGTTTTGCTATGATATGCCCAAAATTCTTAAATGTTGATACAGTACTACTTACATGATCATATTTTACTGAGTGCTAATTATTAGTAATGGGTGAAGTCTAAGTAATCTGTTTAAATAATGTTTTAAATTATTTAGTTCATTTCCCCAAGCATCCATAAAATTTAGCAATGGAAGTATCTTTCATTTACCTATTGTAAGATTGGGGATACAATTTATACTTTTGTGAATAAAAACATTGTTTGAAATATTTTTTTACAGATTGGAACATTTATTTTATTCTGGTTATTACCACAGTTCACCTCACATGATATGCTTAGTAATCGCTCTACCGTATGAGGAAGACAGGCCTGCTGTGCCTGTATATAAATAAATACAAAACTGAGTTCATCTGTTTATTTTCAAAATACAAAGAATTAAATGGCATTCAAGAATAACAAGTACTATTTTCTTTTATTACAACTAACTGAGGAGTAGTTACTGAGAAGTAGGATCACTGGTCAAGGAGCTGTAATCTGCCATGGATTAGGAATATGATCCAACATGTACAAAATTCAATTTAGACTTTTGAAACTGTTTTATTCCTAGTTCTGAAGGAATATCATTATTCAGATTGTAAGTAATCATAGTTTCTGTTCTAACATACTGAGAAAAATGTTTTAATTTTCATTGATTTGGATCTTTTTCATGAAATCAATTAGAACCTCCATTCAGTAAGAGAACCCAGGCTGCTCCTTATTCTCCATTATGTTATCCTCTATATCTCTCTGCCTGTTCTTTCAGTCTTTCTGAAAACAGAGTAATAGACAGAGGCAAAAACCAAGCCTCACAAACGTAAGTAGGGATATATAAATTTTTCAAATTCATGTAATTTCAAATTCAAAACACCTCATTTTGGGATTGGAAAGTCCATAACAGCTATTTGGGTGGAATGGGTGGAATTTTGATGATTTTGAAAGAATTTTGAGCTTGAAATGGGTTGTTTTCTACTCAGAATAGTTAAAACGATTTTGTAGAACTCTGCTGTTGTATCTCGTTTACTTTTAGTTGAAGAACCATCTACAGTAGTACTACTATTTATAAACATTCTTTTGCATAGTCCTTAAAACATCAGTCCTTCTATATTTTCATTTTGGGGCAGGCTGAACTTGAGAAGGCAGCTACACTATTCTTAACTATTGTACCACATTAGCTCTTGAGGGCAAAAGAAGAGCAGCTTTAAGAATTTTGGCTTCAGGCCCAAAGATACTGGCGGAGAGTCAAAAAAATGGTTGGAGGAAATAACAGCTGAGCAGATTGAATTAGGGATATTCAATAGACAACTCCCCAAAAAAGCCAAATGTATAATATTACACATACTTACTGCAGCTAGATTAGCTTTTGCACAGTGTTGGAAACAAGCCGATATTCCAACAGAGGAAATGACTATTCAGAAAATAGTAAACTGTGCAGAAATGGATAAATTGACCCTAGCACTTAAGGATAAAGAATCATCAGAATATTACAAGAGCTGGGAATGTTGGTATGATTGGATAGAACAAAGATAGATAATATAATAGTAAGCATTATTAAACTGTAAAGGAGGTAGTAACTATATACTCGCATTAAGATTTAATTGTAAATATGACACCAATAATGATAACAAATAAGGAACCACAAACTGTCGATAATGGAATTAACTTTTATTCGGTTTTTTTGTTTTGTTTTCTCTATTTTTCTATGTTGTGTATGTGTTTGTTCATTTATTTTAACTGTATATTCAATAAAGTTTGTTTGTTTGTTTGTTTAAAAAGAATTTTAGCTTCAGATCTAGGGCATTTATTCCAAGTCTGTGATAGAATAGAAACAACATCGCTATATTGCCACTTTGCATTATTTTTCAGCCAACAGTTAATTAGAAAATTGTCTCTTAATTTGAGGGAAAACAGTTTGAGCTATGGTCACTCCCCATCCTTGGTGATTAATTGCCACTTCCCAGGAGGTGGAATTTCAATCAGAGAGAAACAGTAAGTGTGTGCGGGTATAGATTCTCTAGTCCAAATCCCATTTTAAAACCTTGCATCCAGTTAAAGTTTCCTCAGAAAATGTTTATTAACTCTCTAATGCAAGACCATATGCATTATATTTACCAAGGATTTATTATGGAGGTACTGAGGCTACCCAGTCTACTTCATATTGTGTAGGAATTAACATAGATAATTTTCCATGAACTTGAAAAACTGTTATCACTAACAATAACTATATTTATATAGCAGCAGCTGAAAATATAAAACGGTTAGATTTAACACAGCAATTTTGTTTTCTATTTCAGTGATTGTGCCGGCAACTGTTCCCTCAGGTTGTGTTCCTAACACCAATAAGACTAATATACCCAAGCCAGCACCACGACTCTCTATTTCATCTCCTCGGGCAACTGTGATTGCCAGTATGGAAACACCCTCACAGGGTTTGCAGACAGTCATGAAGTGGAAAACAGTGGTAGCCATTTTCTTTGTGGTAGTGGCCTATCTGGTTACAGGGGGTCTTGTGTTTCGTGCTTTGGAACAGCCAGAAGAAAGCAGTCAGAAAATCAGAATTGCCAATGATAAAGCAGAATTCCTCCAAGAAAACAACTGTGTATCCCAGCAGGAGTTGGAAGCATTGATTAAGGTGAGAATATCAGAACAGATACCATATATTGGGAAATTTGTTTTTAATAAATCTAAATGAGGTATAATAAAAAAATTGTTTCCTGTGCTGCATGTTTTTGTCTCTCTTCTATTTTGTTGTTGTTAGAAGGAGCTCCGAAGTCTCTGCTTTTGATTTTAAGAGAAGGGCTGATGTTTCCAGTAAATGTTATTTAAATATGGCTACCCAGGGGTGGGATTCTACCGGTTCAGACCGGTTCTATAGAACTGGTTGTTACGATTCTGCACAGTTTGGAGAACCGGCAAATTGCACCCATGGCTGGTCCCGCCCCTCTCTGCCTGCCCCACCCCTCCCCACCCAATCAGTCCTTATCACGCATGCGCAACATTGTGTGTATGCCCAAGATCGCTGACTGTGTTCTCCCCTGCCCTGTCACTCCTTAAGGTATTACTTTTTTTTGTTCCCCTCCCAACGATCAGCTGTTCTGACGATCAGGTCTTACTGCTTCACCCAGGAGGCTTCCCTGAGGCCCAGGAGGCAAAAAGGGGTGTGCAAGGGTGTGTGATGCATGCTGCCTCTATGCTCCATTTTTTGCCTTTCTGGGCCCCAGGGAAGCCTTCTGGGAACAAAAATGCCCCCCCCCCCCGAGGCTTTCCTGAGGTCCAGGAAGCAAAAAAAATGGAGGGGGGTGTGTGCTGCAAAAAAGAAGAAGAAGAAGCCGTGCTCACCCAGTCACATGGCCATGCCCACCTATCCACGCCCACCTATCCATGCCCACAGACCAGTTGTTAAAAAATTTGAAACCCACTCCTTTGGCTACCTAACCATTTGAGATTGAAGATTCCTTTTGAACCCTGTGCAACATGTTAGGAGCTGCACATGGGTCTGGCAAAGAGAGAGTATGGAAAAGGCAATCAGAAAATTATCTTGGATGCTAAGTCCACATGGTTTCTTTTTCACTTTCTGCTTCTCTAATAGTGCTTCATGCTCACATTCTAATTGCAGCAGATAACTGTATTGTTCTGTTTACCACTTAACTTTGTGAAAGTAGCAATTATGGCTTGGAAAATTATCTCCATCAGGATGTCCTGAGAGGAAGAAAAGCATGGAGGATAGATCTTTCTCTCTTCATCAACTGGCAGAAGAATCCTATGTCTCCTGCAGTGATAGATAGAGCAAGTTTTTGGAGTGAGCAACTATACATCTGATGGGTTAAAGAGAAATAGCCAGAATGATATGTCTGAGAAAAAGAATACTGGAAATTGTATAAGGCTGACTACAATGTGAATAGTACAATAGGGTGAAGCTATACTGTTGTCCAAGAATCATTGAGTTGAAAGGACTATTTACACCACTAAGTCCAGTTCCTAGATCAATGAAGGAAGACTGGTCCAAGTTCCTCCCCAACCTCCTCACTGTCCGAGTCTGCTGTCAGCTCTGCTGAATGAAAATTTTCAACTGAATGAAAATTTCCAGTTTAATCTCTGAATCTGAATTCAGCACATGAGAAGCAATCTAAGGCCATTATGATCTGACAGCAACATTTAGATGATATAAAATATATTTCAACATCTTGCTATGAGGACTTTAATTTCTGAATTAAAGTTGATTACAGTTAATCATACAGTTAATCATTAGGCCAGTACAACTGACAAAGCAAAAACACACATACACAAAATCTCAAATACATGTATAATTTCACGCTATTTTAAATTGTGAAGAAATATTGCCAATGTTTGTTTACTTGTTTCTACTCTATACTAAACAATGCTGCAGTCAGGATTGTTATTTAATTGGTCCTCTGAGCGACATTTGGTCTTCTGAGAGAAATCAGTCAGACCTGACTTTGCTGCCAAAAGAGGAATATGACATAACTTTTACAATAGCTTAAGTGCAATTATTATATGTTAGCATTTTAGTTACCTTTCATGATGCTTATAGTAGGAAATAAAGCATGGAAAATGACTTCATACTGAGTAATGTATATTGCAGTTGCCTGAAATACATGTTTTACATTTTCTTTTAAAGGCAATCTATATATTTTTTTTCTTAAGTCAGTTGTACATTCAGTTGAAAAGGGAAAATGTTCAGTTTAAACTGAACATACGTTCAGTTCGTGTATGCTTATATTTTTCCTTCCAGACAAGGGGGAAATATAATCCTTGCAATAAAGAGGAGGTCTGGCATGAATATTCTATCCGAAGCCATTCAGAGTCTGCAAAAGAGCCTCAGTTAGAGGCATTTCTGCTATATTCTTATTAGGTTGTAGAAATAATTATCAGGGTTAATAAGCCTGAGTTTATTTTTGGACATCTATAAAAATTAATAAAAACTATCTTGGTGGCATTTGTCCTAAACTCTAATTGTCCCAAATCTTCTGGAAGTTGCACCAGAAGGCAAGAGATGACAGATACAAATATTGAGAAGGAAGAGATGAAGATGCGAGAGGAAAAGCTGTCTGTCTTCCTGCCTGCCTGCCTGCCTGCCTGCCTGCCTGTCTGTCTGTCTGTCTGTCTATCTATCTGTGTGGTGGCCTAGAGGTGGAACTCACCTCACAATCAGGAGGCTGTGAATTCGATCCTAGGTAGAGGCTAATATTGGGAATAGACTCTCCTGCTCGAGCAGTGGGTTAGACTAGATGACCTCCATCATTCCTGACATCTTCAGGAAGTTTTGGATATATGGTAATCTTAAAATGTTTCCTATATAGCAATAGGAGTTTAGATTAGAAAATGCTACTATTATTACTGCTAATAAAGTATTGGCAATGTCCCTTTGGTTTCAGATGTCTTGGGCATAACAGTCATTACCCATAAAAATTGCCTGTCTATGCTGATTTGGGAGATAGAAACTTCGACTAAAAATTACAAATCAGAGAATGATGTATCCTTAATGTGGATATCCAAGACATTTTACCTGAGCATAACATCTTAACGTCGTACAATTGGAAAAACCTATTTAGGCCACTGAGTAAGCCCCCTGCTTAGGGCTGGAATTCAATGATAGCCAGAGCTCAGCTTGATCATATCCAGCTAAAGAAGCCAATGACCTTTCTGTATAATTGTTCCTGGTCCCCCACTACCCTTGCATTATTGTATCCTGAGCTATATACAGTATTGTGATTCTGCTTTGGATCAAGCATGGAGCATTTTATCCTGTCCTTTCACTTCAGTCTGTTAAAGAATGATCTTTTTGCTAACGAAAAGGCAGGCTGTTTCATTGTAAAAGCCAGATATTCTAAACAATGTTCAACTCAGGGGAATTCGCTTTTGTCCTAGGCATTTTAGGGGCCCTCGTGGGAATTGTTTTTTGAAAAGTAAAATGTCAGAAAATGTATGTTTCTGGAACGGATTTTAGACAAGTAAAGAGGCAAATGAGAGTAGCTGCTAAAAATAGATAAGAAGCAGAGATTCTACATGGAAAATGACTCTCAAACTGGCCATCTGGGTTAAATGTGTGGAATGAATAGAATTTAAAGAATCAATCACTTTGCAGTTTACAGGTGAAACTCGAAAAATTAGAATGTCGTGCAAAAGTTCATTTATTTCAGTAATGCAACTTAAAAGGTGAAACTAATATATGGGATAGACTCATTACATGCAAAGCAAGATAGTTCAAGCTGTGATTTGTCATAATTATGATGATTATGGCTTACAGCTCATGAAAACCCCAAATCCACAATCTGAGAAAATTAGAATATCACATGCAATCAATAAAACAAGGATTTACATAGAACAATATCGGACCTCTGAAAAGTATAAGCATGCATATGTACTCAGTACTTGGTTTGGGCCCCTTTTGCAGCAATTACTGCCTCAATGCGGCGTGGCGTGGAAGCTATCAGCCTGTGGCATTGCTGAGGTGTTATGGAAGACCAGGATGCTTCAATAGCGGCCTTCAGCTCTTCTGCATTGTTCGGTCTCATGTCTCTCATCTTTCTCTTGGCAATGCCCCATAGATTCTGTATGGGGTTCAGGTCAGGCGAGATTGCTGGCCAATCAAGCACAGTAATCCCTCGGTCATTGAACCAGGTTTTGGTGCTTTTGGCAGAGTGGGCAGGTGCCAAGTCCTGCTGGAAAATGAAGTCAGCATCCCCATAAAGCTTGTATGCGGAAGGAAGCATGAAGTGCTCCAAAATCTCCTGGTAGATGGCTGCATTCACCCTGGACTTAATGAAGCACAGTGGACCAACACCAGCAGATGACATGGCTCCCCAAATCAACACAGACTGTGGAAACTTGACACTGGACTTCAAGCATCTTGCAGTGTGTGCCTCTCCATTCTTCCTCCAGACTCTGGGTCCTTGGTTTCCAAATGCAATGCAAAAGTTACTCTCATCAGAAAAGAGGACTTTGGACCACTGAGCAACAGACCAGTTCTGTTTTTCTTTAGCCCAGGTAAGATGCTTCTGACGTTGTTTGTTGTTCAGGAGTGGCTTGACAAGAGGAATACGACATTTGAAGCCCATGTCCAGGATCCGTCTGTGTGTGGTGGCTCTTGAAGCACTGACTCCAGCCTCAGTCCACTCCTTGTGAAAGTCCCCAACACTTTTGAATGGCCTTTTCCTGACAATCTCCAGGCTGTGGTCATCCCTGCTGCTTGTGCACCTTTTTCTTCCACACTTTTCCCTTCCACATAACTTTCTATTAATGTGCTTTGATACAGCACTTTGGGAACATCCAGCTTCTTTTGCAATTACCTTTTGAGGCTTTCCCTCCTTATGGAGGGTGTCAATGATGGTTTTCTGCACAACTGTCAGGTCAGCGGTCTTTCCCATAATTGTGATTCCTACTGAACCAGACTAAGAGACCATTTAAAGGCTCAGGAACCCTTTGCAGGAGTTATGGCTTAATTAGCTGATTAGAGTGGGACACTTTGAGCCTAAAATATTGAACCTTTTCCCAATATTCTAATTTTCTGAGATTGTGGATTTGGGGTTTTCATGAGCTATAAGCCATAATCATCTCAATTATGCCACATCATGGCTTGAACTATTTTGCTTTGCATGTAATGAGTCTATCTCATATAATAGGTTCACCTTTTAATTTGCATTACTGAAATAAATGAACTTTTGCACGATATTCTAATTTTTTGAGTTTCACCTGTATATCGATATGGATTTTTAAAATTAGTGTCTCTTTGTAATGGGCATAGTAATATTCGCCATTGCACCACATGCTATCTGCCTAAGAAAAACAAAAGTTTAAAAGAATAAAGTTAAGAGACAGAAGAACATTTTCCTCACACGATGATGATCTAAAATCATGCATTTATTGTTCCATTTAAGTAAGTGTTTTGTTCACATCCTGGAGTTTGCTTTCAATGTTCAGTTCTACCTGTTAATGTTCCTCAGAAAGTCAGTATAAAATTCCTTTGAATCTGCTAATGAACAAATATCAAACTGTTCCCATATATAGCAGGTCAGATTTTAGCATAGTTCTCTAGGTTCAGCAAAGATGAACCAAGAAGAAAAATATTCCGGAACAGATTTGAAAAATGTATGTTCATTGTACATTCTAATTTGTGATAATGCTGGGGCCTTGCTAATTAGTAAGTATTCCCTACAGTTGTTGAGCTTTTGTGTATTCTTAACAGATTTTATCAGATTAACAGAGTTGGAAGGGACCTTGTAGGTCATCTAGTCCAACCCTTCACCCAAGCAGGAGACTCTATACCATTTCTGACAAATGTCAGTCCAATCTTTTCTTAAGAGTGAGAAAATTCTACACAGGACAAGCTTGAATCTCATGTTTCTCTCCAGTTTCTGAAGTACTGTTCACTTTATATAAGTGCAAATGTTTCCTAGATACACATAACTTTGGTATTATTTTCACTTTTCATGTGCTGCAGTGACAGTTTATTTCAGTAACCTGGAACAATAGCTACTGAAACATTAGCAGAGTATATAGGTAAATCATTTTTCCAAGGGTCTACTTTTTCCTAGACAAATCTTTTGATTCTCTTAATTTATTTACTTCCTGTAATCAACTTTTAGTTCTGATGTCTGTTGCTAAATATACTGCCAAACACATTCCCTTATTAAAAGCCCTTAATAAAACCACCAATGTGCTTTCTTTTCTGGTAGGATTAGGTTATCTTTGCTGAGCAAGACATATTGTGTGCCATTGCCATTTCATCTTAGCATGGCACCACAATTGGACTTCTTGTTCATTTCATGCATGAAAACCCATTTGTGAAACGAATATAAAAAATATTTAGCAAGAAAAACTTACAAACGCAGGATTCTTGGCCTGGGAGAAGAGCTTTATGTCAGTTCCTGGCCAAAAGAAAAACAAGATAAAAAATAAATTGCATTGCTGATGTGGTAACAAAGGTAAGGTGCAACCCAAAACGTTTGTACATAAGCTTTTGAAAGATAATTGGTAATAGTAAAGTTCTTGATTCATTTTTTGCAAACGTCAATAGCAGTCATAAACTCTTGCCTAGATTACTGAAATATGGTGCATGTGGAACTAAATTTGAAGACAATGAAATAACTTCTGTTGGCAGCATTTTCTGTTATGTATTTGTTAACCACATTTTTACACCAGCCAAATAGTCTCATAAATGTCACTTGAGATAACTAAAATGCAGTATGCCATTAAGTTGTGCACAGCTTTAATAGGTCACCACTTGTTTACTTGTTTTCACACCAACAGAAGTAATGTGGGTAATTAATTGGCCACAAAGGAAGATGATTTTTTTTTAATTGCATAAGTCGTCTTCCTATATAGGATTTTTACAGGTCTGGTTTGTTATTTCCATTTTAAAAAAGATGTTCTTATAAACTGTGTCCCAGCATAAGTGTGTGTGTGTGTGTGTGTGTGTGTGTGTGTGTGAGAGAGAGAGAGAGAGAGAGAGAGAGAGAGAGAGAGAGAGAGAATGAAAAAGATGATTACAAGTACAAAACAGCAGTATAAAAAGGACTTCAGCACTGCATTTATTTTCCAAGGGAGGGAAGTTTTGCACTGAAACAACATCAACATCCTACATAGAAAAGAAAGAAGACCTTAAGCAGATTATGCACTCTTCATGCCTTGTTTCCTCTGCTTGGGAAAAAAAAAGCTTTTGGAGAATTTGAATTTTCTAGATTACTGAGGACCATGCAGAAGAAAATGGCTTAGAAATCAGATGCCCAAGGGAGAAAAGCCTGGATAGCAGGGACGTTCAGTGAGGAGGCCAACCGTGTCAAAATTGGGAGCACAAGTGTGTGTGAATGAAGTCCTGTCTTGTTTCGTGCATGTAATGCATGCTAGTATGTCAAAAAGGGGTCAATTTTCAGTTACCATATTTCACCCTCCATTTTGACAATGTGGACACTCCTGAACAGATGAGAGTGGCTAGGGAAAATGCTCTAGTGTCTAGTCTGTTTGAAAATGTTAATTTGAAAATTTAAGTTAGCATTCAAAGAGAATATATAACTGGCATGCATGTGATACAAGACTTATTTATCTGTTGCATTTCTACATTCAGGTAGAAAAAAATCTCTTGGGAATTCCAGATTCCTGTTTCTTGAATCCTGAATGCACATTAGAATATTACATATACCTGTAGTTGGGAAGCAGAAGCAGTCAATAATATGTTGACTTGCAAGGCAATCCCTAGAGTATCTGGATTGTCTTCCTATATACATTAGAAGTAAGCAAGAATGAATGCAAAATTATATTGATTTGTTATGTATCATGGCAAGGTTGGCAGAACCGTGCTTGCAAAGGATGAGAGGCAGCAGTGAGCAAAATTTGAAAAGTGCAACACTTTGTGCTATGAAAAGAATGTGCAAACCAGGTTTCTGTTCTTCAGGTTACTGAGTAACATATGAATATGAGGAAAAAAGTTTATTGTAAACTTGTCAATTTAGAAGAAATAGATGAGGAAGCAAAGAGTTTTGAATTATGGAATGACTATGACTGCATGACTATGTTAAATGTAATAAGAATGTTATATGGTAGAAAGAAAGTATATGATAATTAAATTGAATGCATTGGAAATGTTGAACAGAGAGTATGATAAGAATGTGTGATATTTCCTTTATATTTTATTATAGTTATGGATAAAAGTATAAGATATCCTATACTTTTATATAAGATGGTTGTGGTGATGGTAGATGTTTGTTGATTGAGGACATAAATGCACATGCAGCTGTGTTGTATACTAAGATTGAACTATTTGCAGTGAATGTTAAACCACATGACAAACTGAGGAGTGAAAATCGAAGTATCAAAGTAGCTGAGAGAGAAAATGGAGCAAATAATTCTGTGTTGTATATAAAAGCTGAAAAGTTAGAGCAGAATTAACTTTTGTTAAAGTTAATTGTTGTGTTAAGGTGCTGGTAAAAAAGTAATGTGTGATATATTGTGGGGAATGAATGTTTCAAAAGATGCAAAATTTGCCATGCATGAAGAGATGGTTTAGCCCACTTTATAAGAAGTGATTTACAAATCACAGATTCCAAAAATTCTTTCTATCAACTTAGAGACAGAGGGTATACTAGAGTTTATACTCTTAACAATGGTAACTGTCACCATATTAGAGAAGGTTTGAATAGGAAGGTTGACATAAGAAGATACACAGGATAGTATGCATCTTAAATACACACACAGATAACTTCTTTTCTTTGGCTTCTATATCTTGCAAAATGCAGCATCTTGCATCTTCTTGAGATGTATCCATGTAAATCAGTGCATTACCGGGAACCCATGGTGTTTGAAGGAATCTGTTTTATTTTATAGTTAAAAATGTTACAGCTACACAACTCCAATGGACTCTGGGAGAAGCTTTGACTCAGTGATAGAGGAATACGGCTGTGCATGTAGAAATTGTGTGGGACATCTTGTATCAGAGAGGCCAAGTAGTAAACAATGGGTAATTTTTTTTAATTGCCTGGAACTTTAGAGAAAAGCATTGGCAGAAAACACTGTTAATATAGCAAGGTATTTTGTTCAGCTACAATATATTCTGCTCTCAATTTGCTTTTAATTTTTTTTTTGTAGCGGGTTATGAATGCTACCAGTGCAGGAGTCAACCCTGTTGGAGATTCTTCTAATAGCAGCAGCCACTGGGACCTAGGAAGTGCCTTTTTCTTTGCAGGAACTGTCATTACTACTATAGGTATCTATTTATGCATTTTTATTAATTTATATTTCTGAATGAGTCTGTCTTGTTATGACCAGTTATGGGGAAAACAGGCCTTATGTAGCCTATTAACTACTACTTTCGGAGGAGGTCTGAAGTATGGAGCCCAATCACAGAGTCTGAATCAATAAATAAAAGGCACCCCACCAATAAAATGAATTAATCAGGAATAAAACTATAGAATATTTTAACAGGTGTAGCAATTAACATTGAATAATAGCCAGTAGCCAAAGAGGGCAAAGTAAGGAAACTCCCAAGAACATGGCATAACATAACACATAGCTTGAAAGAATAATGGGAGTGACTCAGCTGACAGTGAAAAAAAATGATTTAAAATAGGTTTATTTGACTGTCAGCTGCTTTGCTGAATTTCTTCACAAATAGAATCAGAACAGTCAGCAGAGGTTACTGCAAGCCTTCATTCTGTTTTGTGCATAAATGAGCACTTTACACACACATACTCACACACAAGCCATATTGCCTAATTTACCTTTGGAAATAATAGAAAGCAGCTGTTCTGTCTCACCTTTCCTCTTTCCCAAAATATGAAAGAGTACAAAGTCACACCAACACAGGCAGGCAAGCTGGCTCGGACTTCACAGAGTTAATTCTTTGGAACTGATAATATTCTTGGCATTCCCACATGTCCTGCCTGCCAAGTCCGAACTGATAAAGTTTTACTCACAGAAAAGCACAAGGCAGTCCACAAAAATAGTCATTCACGAAGAAAATCTGAAGTAAGGTTAAACTTTGTCCCGTACAAAGTTTCAGGAGAAAACACACCCACTTTTATCCCCTGTGGGGTGTGGCTCAATGACTCAGCTCACTCTCTGACCCTCTCACGCCTCCTACATTGCTGCTCATGTTTCTCCCTACGACGCTGCTTAGGATTGAGCCAACGCTCTTCCTCTTTACTCCCTGTCAGGGGCTGCTTCGATATGCCTTCCTCCTGATTAATCTCAGGCTGTTCCCCTCCATTGTCTGATGGAACCTGAGGCATTATCAGGGAGGAAGGTCCTGGGGAGGAAGGCATTCCCAGTTCCTCCTCCTCATCTTCCAGGTCCTCTTCCTCTGACAGCATAGGCTCGGGAATCGGGGCCACAACAGCAGCATTTTTTTTTAACAAAGCCAAAGCTCTTATAATTCAGCCCCACTATTTAAGACTAGCAAGTGATTGTTCCAGAAATAAAACTGAACTGTTGTTCATTTGAGATACAGAAGGACTGCTGTTGTGTGATGATGTTTAGCTGTTTCATTTGATAATAGTTTTCTTTTGCGTTCCTCACCAGTTGAATCAGAACCTTATTCACTGGCAGATGTTTGCAATTTTAGAATAGCTGTATTTAAGTGATGTAAAAAAATTGTTTCTTAAAAAAGAGTGCATGCAGGCACACCCCTCTTTCAAGTGAGTCACATGTAAGAGCAAAGGCAGATCTACCAGTGAATGGGGACTGTATTTCAAATGCAGGAGAGGCATTCTCCCAACTGACAGATTTAATGATGAATAAAGATTCCAGAGCTGGAGCTGTAGGCTTACAAAGCAAATAAGTGTAAGAAGCACCCAACTTGGGTGGAGCAAAGATCTATCAAGCTGAACATCTGGTTCCCTACAGTGATCAACCAGCTGCATCCAGAGTAGCAGCAAAGTTATTCACATATTATAATTATAGAGGAATTTAGAAATAAATGACTTCAATCTGTATTGAAGCAAAGCTTACTGAATTATCTGCAGTAGTCCTGTCTGTCTGGTTGCAAAGTTGGGTCTTCCTTTGATAAAGGAAGAGAGCCCTTGTTGTTTGTGTTGAGGTGAGGAGGAATTCAAAAGTTCATTATCATTGCATATAATTAAGTCCTAAATAGATTAGATGGCACAAGTCTTTCTCACGTCAGCTAAATTGTGAAAAAGAAGGAACTTTTACTAACTTGTGATGAGTTCGGATTTTAATTTTAAAAAGTTACGCAGCTGTGTTGATGTGCATTGGACAGCAAACTGTGGCTGAGCTATTTAAATGAGATCTAAGCATGATTTTTTAAAAAGATAATTATTGGATAATGTAAGCGAATTAACTATAACAGTAAGGAGTTACTAATAATAAACATTACATAAAAAAGAAAATGGGCTCAAATTGAAAGGAAAAAGTGCAGGCTCTGAACAAGGTGGCTGAAGAAATAGATTTGGGGGGCTTGGGATATACTCTCTACCATCTGCCAGTTCAATTCACTGGAATGTTCCTTGGATCACAGTTAAACAAAGAGATACCTCAAACATCCTCAAATGCAGGACTGCCACACAGGCCAATATTTTTCAGATAGCAGCAATAATGCCTGAACAACATGCTAATTGCTGTTTTACAGTTCTCTGTGTTACAGAACAATGGCAATATGGTATAATAGAAAATTAATTTCATTAAAACAGCTTTGGCCTTCCTTCCTTCCTTCCTTCCTTCCTTCCTTCCTTCCTTCCTTCCTCATTAATATTGTATTTGTCAAAACATTGAAGAAACAGAATAAATTGTTACATGAAAGAAGCAAAAAGATAGAAAGAAATGTAATGGATAAAGAATAAAATAAATACATCAGTAAATAAATCTAGGATAAATCTAATAAATCTAGGATTTACAAAACAGAATCAAAGTATTCTGTTACTGTAAAAAAATAAAAATGAAAATAATCATTAAAAAAAACCCAAAGCACAGAACAAAGAGTTGGAAGGGACCTTGGAGGTCTTCCAGTCAAACCCCTTGCTCAAGCAGGTGGCCCTATACCATTTCAGGCAAATGACTTTCCAGTTTCTTCTTAAAAACCTCTAGTGATAGAGCACTATAACTTCTGAAGGCAAGTCATTTCATTGGTTAATTATTCTCACTGTCAAGAAATTTTTCCTTAGTTCTAGGTTGTTTCTGTCCTTGATTAGTTCCCATCCATTGCTTCTTGTCTTGCCTTCTGGTGCTTTGGAAAATAGGTTGACTCTTCTTTGTGGCATGTTATCATGGCACCTCTAGCAGGTTCTGACCAGTTCTGGAGAACCGGTAGCGGAAATTTTCTGACTGGAGATTTTACAGTATCCTTCCCCTGCCAGGCCTCCAGGCCACGCCCACAGAACTGGTAGTACAAAAAAAAATTGAATCCCACCACTGCCTCTAGACTTCTTTTCACTAGACTAGATTTACCCAATTTCTGCAACCTTCATATATTTTAGCCCCCAGCCTTCTAAACATCTGTTCTTCTCTGCACTCTTTCCAGAGTCTGAACATGTTTTTTATATTGTGGCAACCAATATTGGACCAAAACAATTATGATCAGATTTATAATTAATAAACTAAAAGCAAATGACTAAGTTTATTATATCACAAGAAATAACTAAAGATCTCAACACAATTCTAAGTATGATATAAATATTGCTATGACGGTTGTTTGTCATTGTTCCAAAACATAATTAAGTACGGTAAGAAGCAAAAAAGGGAGAGAGTGAGGAAAGAAAAAGAATCAAATATAAAAATAAGACCCTAAAAAAATCAATCCAAATGGTAAGAAACAACATAGTTCTAAAATCCTTTCCATTGTATCTCAGTGATGATTGCCTCAAAATATTTATAAAAATTGAAATTACTTTTAATTATTGTCTTTCTGTCAAATATTTTAAAAACCATAAATGTCTGAGTTTGCCTTCCTGAGTGGCATATAACATAAAAGAGAATGATTCTTAATTGTACTGGTATGTTACATATGAGCAGAAGATAGATGTTGAGCTTTGCTAGGCATATAGTATCAAAATTCTAGTTGACTATAAGTGGCAGAAAAGAGTCACTGTTTTGAATTTCTTTGCTGCCATCTACTTGGTCATCTAGATTTTGGAAACCCACATACAGCAAGTCTAATTTTTATACACATCTCCATTACTGTTTTCCCAAATGCTACTAGAAAATAATGATGGATGTTATAACTGCAAAATCATTTCTGGATATTATTACAGCATTTGCATGTTAAGTGCTTATATTTCCAAACCAAACATAGGCAACCAGTCTTTAATAATATCTGGCTAGGGGATTCTTTACAGATTGCAGTACATATTTTAAGTTATAAAATATTGATTACAGCTTATACTTTTTAAAGAGCACAATCAAACATTAAATCCAAATCTTGAACGTAAAGATATGTATTGTCTCATATTTAACAGTTCAACTTGTACCACCTGTTTAGCCTATTCACAATTTGCTGTGAATATTTTGTTTTAGTTTTGTTTATTGAATGTGAATTTTAAAAAAGCTACCAGCCATTACTATTACTTTATAGCAAGCTAAGTTTCATCTTCTTGTTGAAGTTCTAAATCAGAGGTGGTATTCAGCAGGTTCTGACCCATTCTGGAGAACTGGTAATGGAAATTTTGAGTAGTTCAGAGAACTGGTGGTAACTTTCCCCCAGGACTGGGGAGGGAATGAAGATTTTGCAGTATCCTTCCCCTGGAGTAGGGTGGGAATGGAAATCCTTCCCCTGCCACACCCACCAAGCCACGCCCACAGAACCGGTAGTAATTTTTTTTGAATCCAACTACTGTTCCAAATGATACTAAACATTTATGAATCCATCATTGTAAATATATCCTTATGAAGTGCTAGAAATTTCACCATATAGCTCATTAGCCATAGACACACAGGCACACAAATCCCAATCTGCTTTGTTTTGTCAGCAGGGACACAGTCTATAATCCCCTTTCCCCCCTTCATTTAGTCTTCTGGAGTGTATAGCTGTATTGAGTGTTTATCTTAAATGTGTTTAAAAACTTATCAGTAAAGGTAAACTGAAAATATATGAAAATGAAATAAAAGCAATACAAAGATTCATATGATGTTCACAACATATTTCACTTAAATTGTTGGAAAAACAAATAATTAAATTAAGCATGCAGACTTGTAATTGTAATAATCAAATTCCTGGCCTGAATAAGGGGCGAACATGAAGCAGTTAATATGCAATTCTCATCCCATGTTTAATCTTGGCTTCTACTGTAGTATCACATGACAAGTTGATGCTTGAATTACCATGATACCGTGTCCTAAGACAGGATTAAGTTAGTTTCAGATAGCTGAGGTTTTACATAAAAAAAATAATGATGGCCTGAGCAGTGTGTTATGAAGTCATGAAAGCCAACAACAATGCATTATGAAGTCACAAAGAAATAGATAGCAATGCATTATAAAATCACATTTTTCTGTTTTTTTATTGGCACCTGTTAGGTATAGGGTTATAGCAGTGTTTTTCAAAATTGGCATCTTTAAGATATGTATATCTAACTCCAAATTCCTCAGCTAAATGTTGGCAATGCTTTTAGCTAGATTATATAGCAGGGGTCTTCAAACTTGACAGCTTTAAGACTCATGGGCTTTAACTCCCAGAATTCCTCCTCCAGTCATGTTAGTTCAGGAATTCTGAGAGTTGAAGTCCACAACAGAGGTGGCATTCAGCAGGTTCTGACCAGTTCTGGAGAACCAGTAGTGGAAATTTTGAGTCGTTCAGAGAACCAGCAAATGCCACCCCTGACTGGCCCTGCCCCCATCTATTCTCTGTCTCCGAGTCCCAGCTGATCGGCTGGATCTTCTTTTGTTGCCCTGCACAGGAGAACAGAGCTGGAAAGCAGGTTAGTGGGATGGGGAGGGGATAGAGATTTTCCAGTAACCTTCCCCCAGGAGTGGGGAGAGAATGGGGACTTGGCAGTATCCTTCCCCAGCCACCAAGCCACGTACACCAAGCCACACCAACAGAACCAGTAGTAAAAAATGTTGAATCCCACCACTGGTCCACAAACTTAAACTTGCCAAGATCCTTGTTATATAGGCTATATTGAGGTTCCCCAGAAACAGCATGTTTTATTTGTTTGGATTTCTGTTCTAAGTCACCGAGACATTGTACTATAATTTTAGGCAATTGGCTGCCAAATCATGGTAGTGGGTTCAAAGGGAGATGGAATTTACAGGGTTCTGACTCTGCTTTGAGAAGCTGTGGGTCTTTGGTACAAGTGCAAAAGAATTGGTGTGAATGTTTCCACACCTGTATAGCTCCGTTCCTTTCTCCTCCTCAAACTCTTCAGAAGAGAAAACTCACAACCAACTTCTTTTTTCTCAACAGGTTATGGAAATATTGCCCCAAGCACAGAAGGCGGAAAAATTTTCTGTATTTTGTATGCCATCTTTGGGATCCCGCTTTTTGGCTTTCTGCTAGCTGGCATAGGTGACCAACTTGGAACCATCTTTGGGAAGGGCATTGCACGAGTCGAAAAGGTCTTTCGAGTAAGACTGAGCCATTTATTTTTTCCCTGCTTTTTCTTCTTCTTTTAGTTCTGAAGCTTAATGGCAAAGCATCTGCGCTTCTGAAAAAATGTGGCTTGATGGGACCCATTGATGCCACCTGTCTCACAGATATATCTTCACAATTTAGGAAAAGCATTGTTTTAAAAGTTATAGAATTCTTAGCTAAGTAGTGTTGAGGGATTGTCAGGAAAAAGAAATTAATGAATGTGTGATTTGCAATAGTACACCAGCAGTTCTGTGTTTTGCCAGAGGGCATTCCTTCCAAGTATCTCTGACAAGCCCAATAGGCTGCCAGGTAACCTTAAATTAAATATAATATATACATGCTGTTAGAAAGCTACTTTGTCACTTCCTGCTTCTTTCTTTGGCATATTTCTTGACTCCTAAGGGATGATTCTCTTGGCAATTAAGTCAATTCATGTGTGTGTGTGTGTGTGTGTGTGTGTTTAAAGATTTAATCTAGAATCATCCCAGTTCATATTAATTGCAGTGGAAGTGAAAACTATTCACTCTCTAAAGTGCTTTGATCAGCAGATGGGAATCATCCAACTGATAACTTCTGGATTTTTCTTTCTTGTGATACTCTCAAAACGACAGTAGCATTCTAAGGTTTAAAACCAGTTTAATATTGTTCCCCATGAATGCAGATTTTCTTTGTGCAGGAAGATTTTATCTGAAATAGTCTTCAGTCATGCAAATGACTGCAGTTTAACTTCTCTCTACCTCCAATCTGAAATTATATGAGCCCTGAAAAAATCATTTACTTCCTCTGCTGTTTTGTCTGAACAGCCAAGTGTTTATGCGAAGAAAAGGCAGGAAAAATGGGAATCAATCAAAACACCTTTTATTACTATATAATCTCTATTTAGCTTTCCCTAAGCTGTACAGTCTAAGCAGTGTTCCTCAGCCTTGGCAAGCTGAAGATATGTGGATTTCAACTTGCAGAATTCCCCAGCAACCGGTGTGGAGTTGAAGTCCATTCTGGGTTGGTCACCAGGACCAGAGGTTCAGTCTTCCGAGCTTTCGGACTTGTGCTGGAGCCCATCCTCGGGGACCTTCTCTCTATTATTATTCTCTCTATTCTAGACTATTCATTCTGTTAGAGAAAAATTCCCTGAGAATGAGTTCCAGCATGAGACTGAAAGCTCAGAACACTAAACTTCTGGTCCCGGTGACTGACCCAGATTGGATCCTGCACTTGTTTCACTTGTTTGAATCTCCTCAATTGAATATTTCATATTTGAAGCATCTTTTCTATGCACGGATGTATGTTTCTATGTGTGAATTTGTGACAGGGGGCAGGAAGGGAACAACAATATAGTATGATATTTCATGTCATCAATGTTCTGTAATAGCCTTCTCCAAGCCACTATCGTCCAAGTATTTTGGGATTATATCGCTAGAATTGTCAGCCAGCATGGCAACAGCTGATTGTGAATAGTGGGAGTTGGACTTTCAACATATCTGGAATACATCAAGTTGGGGAAAGCTAATTTTAAAGTTGCTCTATCCCAATGCACTTTTTCTGAAACCAGTCCTGCTATATTTGGAAGTACTGCACATACAGGTACCTTTTGCAGAGAGGCAGATGTGCCATTATGTCTGATTTGTAGGAACTGGGTTTCTGTTCAGGCACTGCAGGGGATACTGACTCTTATATGATGTAAAACATTTCAGTAAAGAAAAGTATATTGTCCCATGCCTTGATGAGCCAAACTATAGGTCCCATCCAGGTGAATTGTGCTCCCCTTTTTTGGATCTAAAGTGCATATTTCTGCAATGCAGAGTAAATGATGCATGCATCCTGTATGAAGGCTCGTTCTTTTCTGAAGCATGAAATCATGACTTAATCATTTTATCATACTTTGATTCAAGTATACACAGACACACACAAAATATCCTTCCATTTCCATTATTCTTTCTCTACTTCTGCTTCTATTCTTTCTCAAAAAGCAATTGTCATGCTTTTGTAAAATTTAAGGTTAGTAGCCACTCATTCTTCTCTTAGGAGTATTGCAAACTTTAGCAGTAGGAAGCTCGACAGTGGGGGATATAGTGTGATTTGATATATACAGTTGTGAGATTAAAACTTTAATTGCATATTTTTCATGTTTATAGTTCCTTTGCATTTGGTAATGAATGGATAGTTTTTAATATGGTATTGCCGGGCAGCAATTTATTTTGTGTCACTTTCTGAAACCAGTGCCCTGAAACTCACAAATGACGGTCATTTTCTTTTTGCAGAAGAAACAAGTCAGTCAGACAAAGATTCGTGTGATCTCTACCATTCTTTTCATCCTGGCCGGATGCGTTGTTTTTGTCACCATTCCAGCAGTCAGTTTCAAATATATTGAAGAATGGTCAGCCCTGGACTCTTTTTATTTTGTTGTTGTCACTCTGACCACCGTTGGTTTTGGGGATTTTGTGGCAGGTGAGACATTCCATCAATTGATTGATTGCTTGATTTATTAATTGCAGTGGACCACTGTATGCCCTATTTATCAAGAGACAAATCTTACCGATCTGGCTTACAAATAGCATGTTAAATTTGTAGGCATGTAAACTACAATATTAACCAATATGTGCTTTTGTCAATTAAGTGAAGGTGTACACTTTCAAACTGGAAACTGAAGGCATATGATTGTATTGAAATGATTTTTTCCAGCCAGTAAGAAGGGAAAAAATGATAGGGGAAGGGGAATTATATTTGTGCTGTTCTGGGCTTCCGTATTGAAAACATATTGGATAGAATGTGATATGATTCAATTTTGAATCAGGGGTTATTCTAATCCTCTTATTTCTATTGCTATTTTAGTTTCCATTTCTTTCACTGGGTTGCCCATGAGTGCCACAAACTGTCCTTTCTGTTACTGTCCCAACATTGAAGGTGGGAAATAATGAGAACAATTTAATAAATATCCTTGGTCTTTTGACTGTTGTACTGGAGGCATTATACACATACAAGTTATCCCTTTCTCCCCAGTGAAATGCTAGTAAATACTGGCTAGATTACTCAATATGAGTGAGATTCCAAATATTAACAGTAAATGGACTTTTCAGAAGCAAGTATCCATATTTTCTGTAATAAACAACACTGGTAACATAAGAACCAGGAAGTCTCATATTAAAGAATGCTATTTACTCAATAAAGACTATTAAAATAAACTCCAATTTCCATGGATTAGGAAAGGCAGGAGAACATAAATTTTGGCCTATACACTTATATAAAGGAGTTGATTTTTGTGTACTGTAAGGAACACATTTCTGTGTATATGACTTGTCTCCTGTCTGCAATAATAACGACAGTAGACAGCAGGCAGATAGAAAGACAAAATTGTGTTCTGCCTGGAAAACTAATCTCTAAGGATGAAATACAGGAAAAGATTTACAGTTGTGCATGTGTAAAGTTCAATGGCCTGTCACTGCTAAATTTGCTCATTTACTCCTCCTAAAATAACGGGAGGAGAGACTTTGACTAAAGAATATGATATAGGCTCTCTTGCAATGCCAGTGGCATTATGCCACTGATTATAGATTAAATCACCAGAGCCCAGCTCTAGTATAAGAACCAAGTGTCAATCCCAATCGATTTTTAGGACATTTCAGCAAATTCAACAGGTGGTTGAGTTAGCTCCTATAGCAATAGCAATAGCACTTAGACTAGTACACCACTTTACAGCCCTCTCTAAGTGGTTTTACAGAGTCAGCATATTGCCCCCAACAATCTGGATCCTCATTTTACCCACCTCGGAATGATAGAAGGCTGAGTCAACCTTGAGCCTGGTGGGATTTGAACTGCCAAGTTGCAGGCAGCTGATAGTCAGCAGAAGTGGTTTGCAGTACAGTACTCTAACTACTATGAGCTTAACTGTCCTAATCATCAACAGATAATTGATGGTCCCTTATCAGTTCCCATCCAAGGCCTGGTAGCTATTGATATTTGATGCCAATCACTAGCAGTCCTATTTGAAAGATAAAACAGGAATGTGGACAGGTGTACTGCCTTCCTCACTCAGTGTGAGCTAAGAGCTAAAGATTCCCATTGATTTTTCTTGCATAAAATTTTAATTGACCTGATAATTGAGAAAGGTGCAAGATGGACATTCCCTCTTCAAATGTTACACAAGAGTTTGGACTTGGATAGCTTTATACTTTGTGATAATTATTGAAATCATGTTCAGTGATCCTGTTCAATAGGATCTATCACCTCTGACAGGAGAATGTTCTATGTAAACTCATGCAACTGATTTTTACTTGTAGCTCAGGATGTGGCTGAATTGAAAGAGGCTTGATTGAATAGTATAAAGAAGGACTATAAGTTGAAATATTGGACTAAAGTCAGTCATTCATGGCATCCATAGACTATCAACATTAATATAGATCTGTTTAAGTAACTATGGGAAATCCAAGAAGCAAAATGAATGGCAGAATATGGTAAGGGAAGACATCACTGTTCTTTTTTGTCTACCCATTTCTTCCAACCAAATATCAGAGAATTCAGAAACAGTGGTAGTCTTTAATGGTCACTGGCCAGAATTCTGCACGTTAACTAAGTAGTAATGAAAATGATACAATTTCTATTTCAAATAAAATAAAATTGCCATAAAATTGTATCTAGGTCATTGAGGTGACAAGGGAGTGTCTAGTTTTACAGAGAATGAAATATAGACATATTCAAGGAAACAAACTCATAGCAGTCTAATAAAAATAACTGTACATAAAATAAATAATAATTGTGTAGTTATTTTCCTGGTAGAGAGTTAAATGTCCTCATAGAAGGAACAATATAAGAGATGATAGAAAGCACAATATAAGAAGATATATGGGTTTCAGAAATCCTTCTCCATAAGGGCATGATTTTAACTTGTCTGAATTTTTTTTATATTTGCCCTTGAGAACAGCTGTTGTGAGGATAATAAAACATTCTAATGTTAGTTCTCTTTACAGTGTAGAGACAGTTATTTGATTTAAAGTATCTTATTGGCCTGAAACCTGACTTGATTATTCAGGAATACATTCCTGGGTTGGACAGATTGATCTAGTTGAGCTTCCAAATCTCTAGCACATTACGTGGGAGAAGTAAGTAATCATAGGCCACAATCAGAACCCATAGTTGTGCAGGTTTTGTAAGGATGTTCTTTATTCTGTTAATTTATAATTGTCCTCAGTGAGCAAAGATCTGTATCTTCAAGCAATAACAGTTAGTTCACATAGATATTTAGCCATTTCTGTAACCACAGATTCAAATTGGCTCACAAATTTAGTTGCATAGCCTGCAATATTTTATATCAACTAGAGCTTCTAAATGATCTTGAGGGACACCCTTGAGGAGGGGATGTTACCAATGCATGAATGACTGTCATCAAGGGTTGCCACTCTAGGAATGGTTACAATTGTACTTGAGCAGAAGCTTTTCTAGTCACAGTTGCCACCTGCTCAGCAAAGCACAACTATGAGTCTAGAGAGCCTGCAAATTGTGTGCTATCTTGGGGCAGAAGAGTACAATTCTGTTCAGACACAAAGATGAAATTTTCTTGAAATGGTTAGGTTCACAAACCCAAGCCACTTGGTTTTGGAAAAGTCCAGTCAGAGCCTGTTCCTCTCAGTCCAAACCCTGACAGCTTCTAAGCATTGATTACAGATAATCAGAGTTGGAAGGGACCTTGTACGTCATCTAGTCCAACCCCCTGCCCAAGCGGGAGACCCTACACCATTTCTGACAAATGGCAGTCCAATCTCTTCTTGAAAGACTCAACTGATGGCGCTCCCACAACTTCCGAGGGCAAGCTGTTCCATTGGTTGATTGTTCTCACTGTCAGAAAGTTTCTCCTTGTTTCCAGGTTAAATCTCTCCTTGTTCAGTTTCCATCCATTATTCCTTGTCTGGCCTACAGGTGCTTTAGAAAATAGCTTGACCCCTTCCTCTCTGTGGCAGCCCCTCATTGGATTATACTTTCGCCATCTATCACTTTTCAGCTTGAGAACAGAATGTATAAGTGGATATCATCGATATATTGATTATATTGAACTCCAGGCTGACAAGTACCTTATCTTGAAATTAGAAAGAACAAGGAGAAGAGGGATTCCATTGAATGGAGGTGTCTAGGCAGATGGAACAGTATTCCCCCGCTCCAGTCCCTTGGAGAAGACAACCATAGTCAATGGTATCCAAAACTGTTAAGAGATTAAGAAGAACCAGAAGGAGGTGCTTTCTTGATCTAGTCTCTCCATAAGTCATGCACAAGTATAGCCAGGTAAAATTGTCTAAAATAGAATGGGAGAAGACGTCTTGAGCAGGAGCAAACCAGAGCCTCTTTTATAGCCCTTTGCTCAGAGAAGCATCGATTGCTGCTTACAAACCAGTTTCCTGCCATGAATGCCACTTTGCAACAAATGCCACTTCAGTGGAATCAAATCTAGCACCTTTATTCTAGATGCCCTTTTATTCAGTGTGTAATTAGAGTCATGAGTCAACCACAAACAAGATCCTTGAAAAAGTCCCCAAACTCTGAAATCTAACAGGATCCATCAGGCATTGGCCTTTTGGGCCAGCTGTATCAACAAGGTTCCTCATGTGGTTTTCATGGATAATCTCCTTGAATGCCTGCAGACTCTCATGATTGACAGCAGCTATCCTCTTCTCGTTTAGGGAGTGTCCTGCCCTAGAAATCCAATCAAAAATTGAGAAAAGATGGATCTGGCAAAATTTGTTTCTTGACACATCCATGCTGATTTCTCAAATTTATCACATTTTTGATATTACTCACAAATATATCTTTTTATGATCTGATTTAGAAGATCCAACTTATTACCTGAATGATTCCACATGAGATATTTGTAGGCATTTCCTATCCCCTTTTTCTTTGTCTGCTAAGACCAGTCAAGGCAATGAATTTAAATGAATGTCTGGGCTAAATGTGACTGGAGTCAAGGTAACTGCAACAGGAGTGAAGGCACTCAACTACGAAAACCATAAAATAAGCAAGCTCTGTAGTGGAATTATTTTTCATTTGCAGTGTTTCTGTTTAAAGCTATGGACTTTGAAGAAACTCCTTTCCACTTTCCCAACAAGATGCTATTCATTTTTATTTAGAAAACCAGGAAGAAAGCTGCATCTCCTATCCTGCACAACATCTCGTTTGTAGGATTCTAAAGGAGACATAGAATTAATGTACCCATATGTTTATGGTGATCTGAAATTCGCGAAAGTTACTCTGCTGTCTGAGATACAGAATAATATGGCCCATGGAAAAATAATCTAAGCACTGATGAAATTAATGATTAAAATAGTGATTCAGAAACATAATGAAGAATAGTTCCATCTTTCCTTTAAAAACTCTGTTCATAAAGTATGAACTATCTTGATGGCACAGTGGGAGAGAGCAGTAGAAAAACTAAATTTGATTTGATTTCATTTACATTTAAGTGTAACTAAAATAATTAGTTAACTTGATTGTTTCTCCAGGCAAATATTTTATGATTTCCCTCTATTGTCTTAACTGCTATGTATAGTATGATGGTAGCTTTTGAAGGATCTCATCTAAAGCTTTCAGGGATTAGATGTGGCCTTTAGCCGTGGGCTATATATTCCTACAGTAGATCACTGACATTTGCAAATTTATACCAGAATCAATCTTTTTATGTTTATCAGTTTAGAAAGGAATTTGTCCTGTTAATTTGTAGGCAGCAGGGAAGAAAAATGACAATCAAACACAAAAATATTGCACTGATTTAGCTGGAAAGTTTATTTTATTTTATAATGTCTACTTATTCTGTGCAACAGATCACAGTTAACTGTTTACTGATTCTCCCCTGGGACCTGTGAAACATGATCAGAAGAACATCATCAGCTCATAGAAACAAGGGCACAGCTGCTTGCCCTTTGTTTTAGCTTGACAGCTGTAAAGCCATAACAGTACATCTGTTGAAAGATAATTGAAATCAGAAGCCATTTTGAATCTTTGCCAACCTTTCTGTGCTTGGATTTGTATATGAATCTTAAATCATTATAAGCATGCCCATATGCAGGCTACTTAGAATGCACCTTAAAAGATTCATTGCAGTGTTTCAAATTGCTAACAGGCTATAAAAATGCAGAAGGTCAGGGAAGTAGAAGATGGAAGACTAAACAACATTATAAAAATAAAATTTAGTTCCCTGTTCAGTTGTATTTAAATAACTGAAATTAACAGTATACACACACTCACTCACTCACATAAAAATAAATTCCAGGTTCTCTTGACAAGAATCTGGAATTGATATAGAGTAAAATAGATGTAATGGTGCTAAGGGACAACAACATCAGGAAGAAGTATGAAAAGCTGGAGAAGTATCTGAAGGAGGAATTGAGATGATGTGAAAAGGGCGAAGGTGATCCCAGGGTGGTAAGAGCACTTGGGGCTGTGACATCTGAACTTGGAGAGTGGCTCCAGGAACAGTATCAGAGCTTTCTGTCCAGAAGAATGTCTTGCTAGGAAGAGCTAAGATACTGTGTAGAACCTCCAAACTCCCAGATCTCTGGTAGAGGACCCAAAATTTAGGAAGACGTATGCCACCCATAAGGGTGAGAAGGCAGAGGTGGGCCCAGCCGGTTCATTCTGACCACCAACTGGGCCTGCTCCCAGGCCCTGGTGTTATCCCATCCTATATATCTCACTCTCTGGCTTGCTCGCCCTGCCCATGCAGCCCAGCTGATTTCTGTGCCTCGCCCGCTCTACTCACCATGGCTGCCCGAGAAGGTGTGCTGGAAGCCACATGCATGAAATTGCCGTGTGTTTGAAGGCACACAGAAGCACGGAAGACGCACGTGCTCACAAAGTGCATGTGCATGTACGCACTCACATTTTCGATACTGCACTAGGTGAACTGGTTTTTAAATTATGAGAAGCCCACCCCTGTAAGAAGGGAATTTTTATATGTTTATGTAGCAGTTGGACCCATTGAATTCAAAGGGACTTGTCCCTGGTGAATAAATGCCATACAATAAAGCACTCCTTACCAATGAGTAAAACTTATTGTCCTTAAACAATAGGACAGTACTGCAAATAGCATTTTTGGGGAGGAACATGGCTTTAGAGAGAACACAATCTGCAAAATATTGTGTTGATAACTAGCTTATGTTCTATTAAAAAAATGAAAATTATCACAAAAAAGGGGAATTTCTTTTGCAGGTTACTGAGTCTTAACATTTAGTTATAAATAACATGAATATATTAATAACTGAAAACTTGTATCTGACTATATAGTCATGAGCAAAAAGCTTTTGTCATAAATGTGAGTGTTACAACAGTGAACTTATTCTGATCATTTATTATTATTTTTTGTAATAACTTTATTAAAGTTTACAAATATCAAAGTAAACAATATAAAACAGAATTAAAAAGAAAAAGTGCAAAGAAAAAGAAAAAAATAAAGAAAAAAGACTTGGAAAGAAATGTCTGCTTCCTTCCTCAAGACAAGTGCAAACAATTTCTGTAACTTTTCACCTTCTCCAATATTTCAATGAAATGTCTCCTCGTCCCATATCTTATCTCTTGTCAATAAACAAATTATAAATTGATATGCTAAATATCTTTATGTGCTGCCAGGATGGCATGAACATATTGTGAACGTGCATACTGAGGTGAGTTAGCCAAGGGTCTTGCTCAAATATTGAAAATAATGTGGATTGGGAACATGGAAATGAAAAAGTGTAGTTTCACTTTTGATATATGTTTTTTATCTTCATATCTAAATGTGTGTTCCTGTGGTTGTTGTTGTTGTCATCATCATTGCCATCATTGTTATCTTTTACCACCTTAGGAGGAAATGCAGAAATCCCTTATCGGGAATGGTACAAACCCTTGGTATGGTTCTGGATCCTTGTGGGCCTTGCATATTTTGCTGCTGTCCTTAGCATGATTGGAGACTGGCTGAGGGTTATTTCAAAGAAGACTAAAGAGGAGGTAACTATTGGCAAGTAGCTTATATTGCAGGATGTTTTGTGTCATGTTCTAAGTGCTTTCGGTTGGAAGATTACTCTATCAGTACTCAATACACAGCACATGACAAATTTGGAAAAAATATCGAATATCTTAAAAAATAAAATAAAACAGAGACAATCCAAATAAATTTAAAAACAACATTAAAACAATTAGTTATTTATTCAAACTTCATAAAGAAGATTATGGGCTGAAGGTCATATCTAATTTTGAATAGTAAAAGCTACATTCCAAAATCGTCATTTATTGGGTAGACAAATTCTAATTGAATTCAATTAAATTAGAAATTCATATGTTTTTTCATCTCATGAGAATTTGCTGCATTGGAGTAATTCTTTTTTTTAAAAGCTGATAGTTTAAAAAACAATAACCAACTAATCATAAACCTATAACTCTCAATCAATTATTGGTACCTTAAAAATGTTGAGATTTTACCAAAGAAAGGCTGAATAGAAATATTTAAAAGATTTCTTATATTCATTGTTTGGCTCTCATGCCCTTACAGAGTCTGACACTTCAGAGAATTGCATCTGTAAGAGATTATATTTGTTGAATCAAAACCCATGATTTTATATTACCAATGTAAAAAAAATCAAAAATTAAATTTGAAGAATATAAAAGAAATTTGGAAAAGAGAATTGAATGATCCTATATTGCCCAATCAATGGCCTCAGGTTTTGAGGAGTGTTAAATATATTTGTTATGACCTAAAATGCAGCAAAAATTAGAGACCATAGAGAATCTTCATAAAAAGTTGGCTTTAATCCCTTTTATGTTAGTGATGTAATAAAATTGAGGGTACATTTGTTGTGGGTTATGTGCTTGCAATTCTTTGTTGGCTAGCGATGATGATGATGATGATGATTATTATTATTATTATTATGAACCAAGTTCTTTTAAGCCAGTTAAAAATTAAAACTGTTTGTTTGTTAAATTAGACTGGTTTCAGTGCAAAGAATTTAGCCTGGAGTGTTGTGAAAAAATGATTATATGCTCATGGAAAAATGCTGATGTCCTTGTAAATTGGCTTTACAAAATTAGTCAGTTTTTAGACTTTGAACCAGCTTTGTACTAAGGGAGAGCCAAGATGGACAATATAATTCTGTATGGCCTACATTTATTTGAATCATAATAAAAATATATGTTTGTTTGTGTGCATGTAAATGTATGTATGTGTGTGAATGAATAGTACCAACTCAAATCAAACTTAGATGTTTGATATCCCACTCTAAAGCTAAGAGAGACTGGCCCAAAGTCAGCTGTTATCACTAATTAGATTAGAACTTGAGTCTAAGTATTCATAGTCCAGATATATTGAATATTAATAGATACAACTTGAGTCTAAGTATTCATAGTCCAGATATATTGAATATTAATAGATACACACACAGACACAAAATTAAATACAATTTAGGTGGTGAAGTCTGAGGAGGTTTTTAGTTTAATTTAGGTGCTTTTATTTTTATTTTTTATTCCCTATTACTTTACATGCTATTAATGTAATGTGGAAATATTTGTTTACTATATAGGAAATTAGTTTGTATTCAGAAAACTGAATCACAAATAAAAATACTCAGCCACTGAAAATCAAATGAATGTGTGATCCTACTAATTGTTCATTAATTCAATCTGCGGTTGGAGGAGCAATTGTTTGCTTATTTACTTAATCAGTTTAGATGACTGCCAACTTGCAACTCTGAGCAGCTAATATAGGATTAAAATGAAAAACAATCAACAGGACTAAAAAGAGCAGAGATTATATAATACAATCAAAGTCAACAGAATGATAGTTCCCCACCAATACACACATGAGGCTTATCTGACAAGCTGGCCCATTGCCTGGAAAAAGGTCCATGAAATGTCAACAGGGGTGAGGCCATCTTAATCTCATGGAATAATCCTTTTTATAAACATCTGTTTAATTAATACTATTTTTTGAATTTATTCTGAATCTTCCCCTGTTATTTTTTGTTTTCCGTGACAGGTTGGTGAAATAAAAGCCCATGCAGCAGAATGGAAAGCCAATGTGACAGCAGAGTTCAGGGAAACGCGGCGGCGGCTGAGTGTGGAGATCCACGATAAACTTCAGAGGGCGGCCACCATTCGGAGCATGGAGCGCAGGCGTTTAGGTTTGGACCAGAGAGCCCATTCTCTGGATATGCTGTCTCCAGAGAAACGTTGTGTCTTTGCTGCCTTGGGCAACAGCCATTTCAAGGCTTCATCTCAGGAAAGCATCAACAACAAGCCTAATAACCTGCGCCTTAAAGGATCAGAGCAATTGAGCAAACATGGGCAGGGGGCATCTGAGGACAACATCATCAACAAGTTTGGTTCTTCATCCAAGCTGACCAAAAGGAAAAACAAAGACCTGAAAAAAAGTATCCCGGAAGACGTACGGAAAATCTATGAGACCTTACGGCATTACTCCTTGGATGAGGAGGAGAAGAAGGAAGAGGAGGATGACGACTTGGAGAAGGTGTGTCACTCGGCACACTCCAGTACTGCCATTCTTACCAATTGTATTGAACAACACATGGACCTGGAGAATGGCATGCTCCCCACTGAAACCAAAGAAAGGGAACACAAAAATAAATCATTACTTGAAGACAGGAATTAAATGTAGATCATTCTTTGACTCTAGTGAGCCAGTGTTAGTCTTTTATATATGTACATGATCTATAAATGTATGTATCAAGACACGTGCCTTATACAGACCTAGTTCAGTCTGAATTGCATAGCATCCTAGAATATTTTACTGTGCCATAATGACCGAAGCTTGCTCTGCCAAAAGAAATCACAGATAATACACTGGAGAATGGCATCTGAAAGTGGAGTATTGACAGTGTCAGCAAGGGGGGGAAATTCCAAAGGAAGATGGTAATGCAACTGGAAAGGTGAACAGTGTGGTAGGAATGAGTGAGAGCAAAGACAGACACATTAGAAGATCATTTGGGAAAGGAGGCAATGGAGCTGGCATGAGTCTTTCCAGTGGATTGCAAGTTCCTTCTCTCACTGTTGAATACTTTTGATTGAAAAGTAGCGTAAGAGCTGAACTGTCAACTTTAAGGCAGCATTTCTGTTTTGGCATAAGATCTAAGTGTGAGTGGTCCCTCATTTTATGTTTTGAAAAATCAATGAGCCTTCAGTGATTCCTGCTCCCCAAATTAAAATGTTGTTATGCACAAGAAAAGTATCTGGATGCTGGGATGTTATCAGTAAAGACAACAGAATGCCTTTTTCAGAAAGAAGAAAAGAAAACATAAAAACAGCTCATTGTGAATATTTGTCATGAAAAATGAAAAAAAAATGTAAAGGGAAAAATGATGAAAAACTTCTGCCTTTGGAAGAAATTCATCTTATAAACTAATACTATGCTGGGGGTGGGGACTTTAAAATTTGAGCAATTGTGGGATTTTAGGAAGGAAAATATAAACTTGTGTTTGGGTCAATAACCAGTAAAATTCTTTTTAAAAAAAATTGTGATCATACTTTCTATTCCTGAAGGAGCTTGGGTTTTAACACTGTAATAAGCTAAAAATAGAAAGTAAACCTTGCATGATGTCAACAGTTTGCTATTCTCTGTAGCAGAACTCATTAAAAAAGACATGTCATATACAATATATAGTAAAGGGTGGGGCAACTTCCAAACCTCAGGGCTTTGTGTCCCTATTGGTGGTCAAGCTTAAGGTAAGAGAAAGACAGCTGTCTAAAATTCCAGGATAGTAAAAAGGAAACTGGTGGTAATGTTTGAGTAACTGTTTTAAGTGCTTAGAGCTTTAAGTGCGATTAATAACTTCATATTGTGAAGTCTTTAATCACCTATTTTTTAAATACCTTCCTTTAAAGTTTTATTTTTTTTTTCCTTATTTGATCCTTCTTTCCACAGAAACTGAGCAAATTCACTTTTAGTGTTATACCAAATAAGAAAACACTGTCACTTATGTGTTTGTTGTTCTTTCCATGAATAAATGTGGAAAGCACGAATCATTTCAGATTTCAAAACAGATGTTAAATGAAAATGTAGGAGAGAGTTGATTATTTAGAGTTATAATGCCTGGAGATCTCTCTCTCCTCCTCCTCCCTCCCCCACCCTCCCTCTCCCTCCCTCCTTCCCTGCCTCTCTCTTTGTGTGTCTATGTGAGATGAGGAAAGAGAAAAGGAAATTAGTTCTTGGTGAGTGTTTGAATGGAAATTTGCTTGGAATACACATGCAGATAGACATACATTAGCATCCTTCAGCTACCATTCAGAGAACATCTGTAAATACTAATAGAGTTCCCCAAATATTATTCCTAATGTTTTTAAAGGATGCCAAAGCCATTGCTGCACTTTTTAATTTTCCTGCTTTCATATGATCAACATAATTTATGGAGAGTGTATTTGTAATGCTGTCGTTTCAAGCATCTCAGTTGTTTGCACCAGTCTATAGTTAAAGAAATCTTTAACTCCTTCTTTCTTTGCTATTCCTGTCTAATCCATAAAATCGTGAAGATGTAGACCCGGGATCAAATCCTTGTTCAACTATGGAGCTTACTGATTGCTTTGGGAATTTCCAAGTTTGCACAATGATTAGCACAATCAGTAAGCTCAGAAAAATAAAGGATGAAATGAGAAAGTCACATATGTATCATCATCATCTTGGGGAAAAGATGTAACAGAAGACACTTCTAAAATGTACTATCCACTTGACCAGTTAAAATAAAAGTACCATTCTCTCATGCTAAAATGAACTTTCAGTATGTGGGTATTGGACATTATGTTCTATGATACCAAAAGTTGCAGGTTAAGGAAGCTGCAGCTAATAAATAATGGAAAAGAGTTTCCACCATCAGTTCCCCCAAAGGCTCATGCTATTCTGCATCTTGGCTCACACTGAGAAAAAACATTTGGAGCAAAGAAGAAAATTGTAAGAAAACCACAATGCTGCTAACGGGGAAAGAAAATACTTTTGAATTACCCTACAGCTACACTAAACATTATTTAAATTCCACTTGGTGTAAATCTTAATCTGATAATCATAGGTGTCAAATCATTCTATGCAGGAGAGTGTGCAAAAAAAGGGAGAGGAGATAGAATATAATGTCCTCTGTTCCAGGTATAGAAAATAATGAATTTAGAATGCAGCTGAAGTCTAGGAGAAATGGTCTTCTATTCCCAGCAGCTACTAACATTTGGCAGTTTATTATATTCTCTGTATGAATCCAGAAGCCCAGTTAGTCCAACATACAGTTTCTGCCTTTACAAACCAGATGCTTAATAGGCACCCCAAAAATAGGACATGAGAACCATCACATTCTATAGCTTGTATTTGCCATGAAAGATTTTTTTAAAAATTTTACTGTCATAATTTGAATTATGATGAAAATCTTTCTCACACACATAGACATTCACACAAGCTATATTTGCCTTAGATGAGAATTTAGTCCTTGTGCCATGATATATGAAAATGAATTGTCCTGCTTGCATTCACCACAGTGCATGGTGGCTTTCATTTTTTTAAAGGAATACATGAAACAGATTCATCTTTCTGTTGAGTGAAGACAATGCGATGTACCACATAGGAGGCCCTTGGGACTGGATACAGAAACTTTTGTGGCCAGTATGGGATGATTGGCTGTTAGATTGACATTTTTGGGCAAGCAACTTGAAGCCAGGTGGTTCAGAATGTGACAGATAAAAGAGTAATGCTGTATAAATTCATATATTAAAAATGCAGAGTGATGTCACTTCCCATGCACACTTAAAAAAAGGCAACCCTTCTTTACAATACTTGAAATCTGTGGATTTAGAGAATTAAGGTGGCTGCTAATGTTGCCCAGTTGGTCTGCATAAGCAGAGACTGGGAATTAGTTTCACATGCAATTTTGTATGGTACAGAGAGTACAGACTAATCTAATTTGCTCATATGAATCTGATATTTTAATTTTAAATGCCTGATCTTTCAAACTTGGAACATTGTGTAACATTTTAGGAAAATAAAGGTAAAAACTTGGTTAAATCAAACATGACTTCTGGTGGCTTCATGGGCATGGCAGAAGTTTTTTTTTTTAAGTGCTTCTGGGATGTATGTTTTTAAAATATATGTTTTATTGATACATTTTCCTTTTAAAAAACATAAAAAATTCCATGTCTATCCAAACAGTATGTTGTCTAGGCACAATTAATTTTAAGTAAAGATACAACAATAACCAGTCATAGTAGTAATATTAATAAACATATCAACATTAATCACAACATAATAATACCATTAGTTTGTTCATCTTGCAAAATTTCCAATACAGATTCTTATTATCTTTTTAGATTCTGTTTAGTTTTTAACCTCTGTTTCTATTAGTTAACCATTGGTAGAATAAATCCCATGTTAAAAATATTCTATTTCTTCCTTTTCTTTTATCTTAAGCGTCAATCTATTCATCTCAGCACATTCTAATATTTTTTATTACACTTTCATCTGTCAAGACCATCATTTTTCCATTGTCATGCAAAGACTATTCTTGCTGCCATTGCTACATGTAAAATTAAGTATGTATTCTCTTCATTATACTATTCTGGTAGTACACCCAGCAGGAATATTTCTGGTTTCAAATCTATATGTTGCTTTATCATTTTTTCTAACCAAGTATGTATATTTTTTTGCCTTTGGACATGTCCACCACATATGATAATATGAACCTGGTATCTGATTACACTTCCAACATTTAGCTGATAGATTTTCAAACATCTTTGCCAACCTCCTTGGTGATAAATGCCACCTATAAAACATTTTATATAAGTTTTCCTTATAGGCCATTGACATTGTTAGCTTACAATTTCTATCCCACAATTTCTGCCATTTATCTAATTCTATTGAATAACTAAAGTTTTTAGCCTATCCTATCATTGTTTCTTCCATTTTAATACCCAGTAAGTAGCTACATATATTTTTAAATTAATTTTTCATCTGTCCCTAGTAATATCTTGTCTAGTTCTGTTGGTTCTTTATAGAAGCCATGCATTCTTGCATCTTTCTCATATCTTGATTGTATTTGCACATCTGGCCACCATGCTAAATCAATCCATTGATTAGTCAGTTCTTGTTTGGATTTAAGTTTCCCTTCATAATTCAAAATGTCCTTATGCCTTACAATTTTTTCCATATTAATCACATTTGGATGTATCAGTGCCTTCATCGTGGAGAGCCAGACTGTGCTTCTGGGATATATTGTAGTGTACCAGTCTGGTGTACAGCCCTGTGATATCCTGGAATTTGCAGGTTGAAATACCAATGTTGCTTACATTTTAAAGTGAACATCATTTTCACACACTGTATAGCTAAAGCACAGCAAGGCCTTTTTTTCCTCATATGCCAGGATAAGATTGTTGGAATAAGATTGCTGTAATGTAACACACAGTCTACCACATGTCAGTGATATCTCTGTCTCTCCCTTTAAGAGAAAATGAACGAGGCCTAACAAAATATGCAATTTATACAGTATATACCAGCTTTCAGCACATCCTTTACAAACTCCCAAGATCAATGAGAAAATTTATGTTGCCACCTAGTAAAGGAAGAACATACATGGAAGTAAACTTCAATATGTAGAACAAGACGATGTAGACACATGACTCATTTTGAAA